AGAAGCCTGAACTAATGATCTGGAGACAAGGGTTTAATCCCGCCACAGCAGCTAATGAATTTAAATTGTTAACTAAATAAAATCTGGACTAAAAATCTAGTATCAGTAAGAGGGGCGACAAAGCTACCACATGCATATAATGGAATCATATGGCTACAGCACCGCAGATAGACATTGATTTGATTCATTAAGATTGCAACAACTCTACACAAAAGCATGCAGCTAGTCCTACTCCCTGTTCTTTGCCGGTATCTCAGCAAATTTTTTTCCCAGGTGTATTCAATTCCATTTTTAAAGCCACAATTGAACCTGCTTCCATCACTATTATAGGCAATGTATTCTAGATGATGAACCCAGCATGGCATTAAAGTAAAATTTTTTGATGTCAACTTTTTTTTTTTGCCAATCATTTTAAATTTGTCCCTTTTTGTTCCAGCTAAAAGGTTTCCCCCCACGTATCCTGTCAGGACTCATGATTTTGATCAACTCCAAACCTTCTGACAGCAACTCCAGTTTCTCTGATGCCTCATCCTTGAAACAATTCTCCCCCACCAGCCCCTAGAAAAGTCTTTATTGAACATGTTCTAACACTTCCATAACATTCCTAAAGGACAGGGCCTTCGGCCCAAACTGGTCCATGCTGACCATGGTGCCCACTTGGCTAGCTCCAACGGACCACATTTGGTCCATATCCCTCTCAACCCTTCCCATCCATGAACTTATCCAAATGGTTTTTAAATGTTGCTACCATACCTGCCTCAACCACTTTCAATGGCAGCCCATTCCATATATGTACCACTTTCTGCATGAAGAAGTTGCCCCTCAGGTCCTTCTTAAATCTTCCCGCTCTCACCTTAAACCTATGCCCTCCAGTTTTCAATTCCTCATCCCTGGAAAAAAAAGACTATATGCATTCATCCTATCAATGCCCCTCATGATTTTATACATCTCAATAAGATCACTCCTCATTCTCCTATGTTCCAAGGTTAGAAGTCCTATTCTAGCCAACCATTCCCTATAACTCAGGCCTATTAGTCCTTGCAACATCCTTGTAAATCTCCTTTGCACATTTTCCAGTATAACTATGTCTTTCCTATAACAGAGTGACCAAAACAGTACACAATACTCCAACTTCAGCCTCACCAACAACTTATACAACTGTAACATAACATCCCAACTCCTATACTCAATGCCTCGACTGAAGAAGGTCAGCATGCTAAATGCCTTCTTCACCACCTGTCTACCTGTGACGCTGCTTTCAACGAACTATGTACTTGTACTCCTAGGTCACTCTATTCCAGTTTCCATGCTGAATTACTCCTTGACTCTTTGACAGTGTGCCCAGAATTGGTCACATTACTCAAGCTGATGCTTAACTGGTGCTATTATAAATGTTCCTTGCTTTTGTGATGTATGCCTCAATTCATAAAGTGCAGATATGAATTTTGTTTTTAGATCTTTTTCACCCCCTCAACTCCAAATGATGTACAAATATAGATATCCCAGGTTTCTTTGCTCTTGCACTCTCTTCAGGATCAGAGCAATTATCCATAATACAATATATTGTCATGCACATGCAGGTGGGGTGAATGATGCCACTTGGTCATTAACAGGACAAGCTAGAAGTGCCTGTGCTGGCACAAATAACATCACTGCATTTTATGCATAGTGATGTCAGTGGACTTGCTGAAGAATTAGGGAGATGTGGTTGATGGGGCTGAGGTTACAGTTTAGCCGAGGATAGGCAAAGTATGCATCACGAGTCTCTTTTTTGGCTGAGTGACAAGAAAGCTGAAGGCGGATTGGGAGGCTTCAAGAAAATAAATGCATTTTAAACTTGGCGTGTAGGCTATTTTGCATTCAATGACAGGTAGCTACTTCCTGTCACTTCAGAATGAGCCTTCTGCTGTTTGCGCCATCTTACTAGTGCTATTCATTGAAAAATCAGCCCTTCAGAATTGTACTTGTGATAATATCAACTTTCCTTGTTCTCCGAGATGGAGGAAGGAGACACAGAAAACAAAAAGCGTTTAAAATTCACAAGTATGGATACAGTGGATGAGGTGCCCTATTCCTCTTGGTCAAAAGGTTCTTAATTGAGATAGGAAATTAGGATAATAGCTTAGGTAAAGCACAAAAAAAGAAACTTTTTTACTTAATGAATGGTGGGATCTGGATTCCATTAAAAAGTTGGCAGAGGCAGACAACTATACACAATTTTACAAAGTACTTGTATATTCATTTGAATTGCAGTAACATAAGGTTATGGAACAACAGCCTATAAAGTGGGATTAAAGGCATTTGGCTGAATGGTCTCCTTTGTTGCTGTAAATTTTTATATTTCAAGAATCGAAGATTCTATATTTCTTTCTGCCACATGGCCACCTATTCACCAGGTTTGAGCTTTCTTGAAGTTAGTCATCATCAGCCTTCGAGTTTACTACACTTTAAATTTTCCGATGATGCAAAACCTAAAATTGGACCCTTTATACCCTCGTCTACCGGATTAGCATAGTTCAAGAAATGCAATGGTCCTCATTTTGATTCCTGATAAACTGTGGTGTACCTTCTTCCAGTCTAAAGCACATTTTCGCTGTCTCCTATCACTTAGTCAACATATATCCATAATTGCCACTGTACCCATAGGCCGCAACTATACTGGCAAGCCCATTATGTGGCACTTTATGGCATTTTGAAATTCCATATACACATTAAGCATGTTACCTGCAAAACATTTTGACCCCTCAAAAATTGTTAATTAAACATGGTTTGCATTGAACAGATCCATGATGGTTGTCATTCATTAATTTTCCAACTGTTACGCTTTTAGAAATGGACATCAGAACAAAATTGCCAACCACCACAGTTAAACTACCAAGCCTTTCGCTGTTAGGTTTAACTGTATGCTCTTTGTGGAACAAAGGTGTAATATTCACAATTTTCCAGTCCTTTGTGACCCAAATAAAATACGAATGACATCTAAGGACCATTGGAAGACAACAGCCAGCACGTCCACAACTTCCTTACTTTTTTTTTCAGCCACCTTGAATGTAATCTCTGATCCAGGTGACTTAATTTGAATATAACCAGCTGTTACAACTTAATTTTGAGCCAAAATCTCTCAACTGCTTCCTCTTTCACTATCATACTTGGGAGCATTTTCTTTCCTGCTAGAGACAGGTGCAAGGTCCTCAGGCATATTTGCTGCCAGCATGCAGACACTCCCTCTTGGCACTAAATCAGTCGCTTTCCTCCTTTTACTTCCATTTTACTATTTACAGACCTATAGAAGACTCTTTGATTCCCCTTTACACGAGTTGCCAGTCATTTCCCATATACTCTACGCCTCTCATTTCTTGTTTATTGTCCTTCTAAATTTTGTACATCCATCATACTTCCTACTTATTATCAAAACACTGTCACATACACTCTTTCTGCTTTGGCTTACTCTATCTTTCTACACGTAGCTCTGGATTTACAATATTAGCACTAGCAGTAGGCATTTGGTCCCTCAAGTCTGCTCTGCCTTTTGCTAAGATCATAGTTGATTACACTGTGACCTCAACACCACTTTACTACCTATCCCCAATATCCTTATAGAGTCTCAAGTAAATCAACCTGTGTTTGCCCTGCCCGTCAACATTCCTCAACCGAGCTCAAAATCAGTGCTGCATTGTTTTGTTCTGGTTTTGCTTCTATCCAGATTTACCTATGTCAGGTTCATTCTCATACCATTAAAACTCTTCTCATGAAGCCATTTTTACTTTAGATTGTCCTTTGTCCTTTTCCATAGCGAACTTACAGGTTTCAATATGACCACAATTCCGTAAATAATCCCCTTCTAACAATCCAATTAACACATCTCATTTCCCAGAGCCAGACGCAATTGTATCACCTTGGGTAGGGCACAAAATCTGTTGAATCAGAACCACACCAATCACTAAAATTCTACTGAATATACTTAAACCCTTCGTTTTTGCCCTTTATATGAACTGCAAATTTATACTAGACATTCAGGGAAACCTATCTGGTTAACATGTCCTTTATGAGAGGAAATCTACCATCTTAATCTGGTCTCCAAGACTCCAGCCATGTGAATACCTCTCAACTCCCTTGAAAAACCTTAGCAAGCCCTCAAAATTCAGCTCACCACTGCCTTAAGGATAACTGGAAAGGAGCAATAAATGGCAATCTTATCAGAAAGACATATCCCAAGAATAATGAAAAAAACTGCACCATATCCTACTAAACTCTATTAATCGGCAGCTTTGAAAAATTTTCCATTTTATGCTCCTGCTTTGCTTAAAAAGAAAGTGTTTTGGTAATTCCCAAGATGCCATTTCTTGGGTGAAAAAAATGGTAGAAACTATCCTATTATGGTCTGTTTACATTCTGTGAAGATCTATAATTAATTAACTTGGCATAATCTGAACAATTCCCAATAGCAATTCAACTATCCAAAATTAAGGCCAACACCAGTTCTCTTCAGCAGAAGACCATTTCTTAAGTTGTGGAATCTACAAGGGAACGCAAATTAACTCTTGAAATACAACTGAAAACGTTACATTCTTTCAACACAGATGCTCACAAATACACAATTCACAACAAAGATTTCTAATTCATCCACTTTATCAGAGCTTCCCCTCATTAAGTACACACTGATCCAAAATGGAGTAGAGTGGCCTCTCTTGGATTAAAAAAATGTTTTGCTACCAGTAGTTTAAAAGCATGTCAAATTTTGAAAGCAATCCTTATTGCCATATAATCTTCGAATATGGAAAACACCTTAAAACTGGTAAACATTTCAAATTGCCCAAGATTAGATATGAATAACTAAACAAGATTTTAATAGTTCCAAAACAAAAACTCAAAATATTTCAAAATATATTGCTCAACACTAACACAACCCAGTTCAATCACTACCCAACTTTTTGCACAACTTGAACACTTGCTGAGTATTGTTACAAGGCCTGTACAGTGTCTAGGCCAACGCTACAGGATACATTGCAGGAGACAATTCATTTTCACATCAGCAAGAAAACAGACAGACTTTGGCAGATTCTAACTATTCCGAGGTGGTACATACCTCAAAGTGTTTGAATTTTTTTTTGCTGTATCTTAGTGCAGTTTTATCATTGCTCATAAAACAAGTCCAAATTATTTCTTACAAGGAACAGAGGATGAAAATGCTCTAAATGAGTAATTAGCAATTTTGTTTTGATTTTGCTCAGAAAATTTAAAAATTGCAGCCCTTTCTGTCTGCCCACAAAGTATAATTAAAAACAACACAACAGTTTTGGAGATAGTAGGAACTGCCGATGCTGGAGTCTGAGAAAACAAGGTGTAGAGTTGAATGAACACAGCAGGCCAGGCAGCATCTGACCCGAAACGTCAGCTTTCCTGCTCCTCTGATGCTGCCTGGCCTGTTGTGTTCATCCAGCTCTACACCTTGTTACAACAGTTTTGGAACCTTGAGACTAAAACGACCTACCTATCACAAGACCACATTTCCATAAAATATTCTCTTTCAAGCCAATACATGTAAACTCTTGGAAGAACAGA